AAAATTTTCCTTTATTAAACCCCTTTAATCAAAATTTCAAATGTCAGAAAAATTCTCTTACATATTCTATTTTCCATATAATGTTCTATATTAAGGATACATTGAATATTAAGAAAAGGAAAGCAAAACTTGTGGGTATAAGGAATTCTTTATCCCTCTCGGCAATATTTTTAATTTCCATTTGCTTGATGATTTTAATCGCAAAGATAAGGAACCTAGTTTAGATTCTTGAATTACAAAAGCATAAAGTCTACCTCAATTCCTATGTATGTATGTCTATCTATATAGCTATGTATGTATGTAAAGAAATGTATATGCATGTGGGTAAATAATTACATAAATGATATTTACGATGTACTTCAGATGTATTGTAAAAATTTCTATATTATTTTACCTATGTAAGTACTTTTACTGGTAAATGAAATAAAAATATACTTGAATATACGGTATATTATATAGGTGAATACAAATATGTGCATTCCTTTTTCTAATATAAGAAATTACTGTTAGCTATTTAGATTTATCCCCGATATATTTAAATTTACTTTTGTGGAAATTTAAGAAAAATAAATAAAAGTACCGTTTAAAACAAAAAGTAAACGAAAAAAAAACGCAATATTAGGGGAATACATTTTTTTTTTTGGAAATTATAAATTTTTTACTTAAATAGCACAGAATGAAAGTGTGGTAAATCACAAAATTATAATTTTAATAATCTTTTTTCTTTCCTTCCATTTTATACATTAGATAACAGATCTTAGGTTTATTATAAATAGAACTCGTTAATTAATAATTAATTATGAAGTTAAATTATCAAAACATGACTCTGATTTAAAATTTGAATATTACAGTATTTTTACACAATTCAGCAATTACAATTTATAAGCTGAATTATATATTTCTGTAATTACTTTAAAATTTTAATTACAGCGTATTTATTTACAATTCAGCAACAGTAATCCATCAGCTGAATTACTGAAATATACGATATTAATACATGGGCACTAAAAATACAATAATATTTCATAATATTACAATTCAGCAATTATAAATTCATAAGCTAAATTGTACAGCTCTACTATAGTTTTTATAGTAATAGCACCATAATTGTACTTTCTGTACCTTTACTTATTGTCGGTAGAAAACGTTCTTACTTTTCATTAAATTCTTCATGATTTTATTTTTAAAAACATTATATTGCTAGTTTTGTGATTCCTTGGTAGTCTACTAAAAATGCGAAAGCGTTTGACTATATAAAAATCAATTTAAGGCTCAGGTAAAAGGAAATCGTAAGATGTCATAATATTCCAAAATTTTTGTGATTTATAACATTTTTTAATTCCGAAAAATCATAAACTTTTTAAAAACCAAATACAAAAATTCTAAATACTTATCTAGATATGCTCATACAATATAAAAATGAAGTAAGCACATTGCTTTTGATTTATATCATATTTGGTTCTAATGGTGTAGTAATTTCAAAAAAAGAATGAGTACACAACTGCTATATACCTATACGGTGTTGCTCAGTTTTTATACATTTAACATAATATATACAAATACTGAAAATATATTAACAATTAATATGTACATGTGTGTGTATGCTATTTATCAAAGGAAAATATATAGAACCGCACAAGTGAAATAATGTTATGTTTAAAAGGATTTCATTTTTATGATAAATTTTTTTAGAAAAAAAGAGGAACAAAAAAAGTAATGGTAACCTACACATACATAGTCAAAAATTTGGATGTTTTTAAATACATATGTACATATGTTCAGGATTTTTTAGATTTTCTAAAAAAAAATACACTTTTTTTTTTCGGTCGCATTGCATACAAAACGGGAGGTTATGTGATGGCACCCAATTTCGGATGTTGAGTTTCCTGTGGCAACGTACTCACTTATAGTAGGAAAGCGTAAATAAACTATTAGAGAGATGTCAGTCTGTTTGTCGATCTGTCTGCCTGTGTGTGCGCCCGATCAACTTTTGGGATATATCAGAACTTGGGAAGTAGACTATTTTGCGCATCTTAAAATTGTAAAGAAATGTTTAAAAGGCGTTTTTATAAATTTCTGTAACACTTTAACTAAACTAAATAATTGATCTAGGGTCGGTTAGACGGTCGATTATGTGCTGACCACATCAAATTTTTTATCCTTTATTGAATTTTCTTTTTCAAAAAAAAGTATAAAAGCTCCTAGCTTTTAGAAGTGCAAATTTCATTTTGATATTTAAATATGATTTATAAAATTTAAATATGTATGTGATTTAAAAAAAACAGCCATTCATCAAATCTGGCTTCTTATTTTAAAGCAAAACAAAAAAACGAAAAAAAATAAAAAAAATTGTATTTCGTTAAAAATCAAAGAAAAATTTTATGATTTGTTTATTATTTTTTAGTTAGAATTTTTGAAAGACTTTTAAAAATTTAAATTTAAATTTAAAGTGAAAATTGTCGTAAAAATGTTGAAAAACAAGTAAAAACGTTTCAGTCGGTATGAACCGATTGAATTATACCCTGCACCTTTCATTGTTGTATAGCAATTACTCAAACTTGTGAAACCATTCTATATAAACTTCACGGATATGTCTGATCTATAACTGAACACACAAGTTTCGTGAATCTGACTTTATTATTTTTCCAAATATTTAAAATTAGTTTTTGCAGTTGTATGGCAGGTACCCGAACCTGCCAAGCAACTCCACTAAAACTTCGCTAATATATCTGATCTATAATTGGACACACAACTGCCAAGTTTCATGAATCTAACTTTATTACTTTTCCAAATATTTAAAATAAGCTTTTGGACTTGTATGGGAGCCACTCGAATCTGTCAAGCAATTCCACCAAAACTTCAGAAATATCTTTGACCTATAATTGGACACACAACTGCCAAGTTTCATGAATCTGTCTTTATTATTTTTCCAAATATTTAAAATTAGCTTTTGGAGTTGTATGGCAGGTACCCGAACCTGCCAAGCAATTCCACTAAAACTTCGCAAATATATCTGATGTATAATTGGACACACAACTGCCAAGTTTCATGAATCTGACTTTATTATTTTGTCGAATATAAAAAAATTACTTTTGGAGTTGTATGGCAGGTACCCGAACCTGCCAAGCAATTCCACTAAAACTTCGCTAATATATCTGACCTATAATTGGACACACAACTGCCAAGTTTCATGAATCTGACTTTATTATTTTCCCAAATATTTAAAATAAGCTTTTGAACTTGTATGGGAGCTGCTCGAACCTGTCAAGCAATTCCACCAAAACTTCAGAAATATCTTTGACCTATAATTGGACACGCGACTGCCAAGTTTCATGAATCTGACTTTATTATTTTGTCGAATATAAAAAAATTACTTTTGGAGTTGTATGGCAGCCACCCGAACCGGTGCAGCTATCTCATTAAAATTTTTAGAGCATATGTAGAATATATTTGGACACATGTATACAAAATTCTATATTTGTACCTTTATTAGTTTTTGAAATAATTAAAATAAACTCTTTGAGTTGTATGGCAGCTACCCGAACCCGTTGTCCGAATTGGTCCAATAACAATAGGGTTCGTCCTTGGCACAAAAGAAACAACTTGTGAAAGTTTGGTGTCGATTGCATTATTCGTTTTTGAGTTATCGTGCGATCGGACGGACGGACGGACGGACGGACGGACGGGCGGACGGACGGACGGACATGTCTAAATCAACGCAGAATTTTACGCTGAGCAAGAATATATATATATGTCCATACCGCAGATGACTCCTTCAAGTAGTTACAAACTCCATACCAAAGTCAATATACCCTTCACGAAGTGCAGGGTATAAAAAGCAAAATGTTGTCGTAATAATTTGATTCTTAGTATGTGACGTTTAATTTCTCTCTTACCTCATTCTAGTTATCGTATATACTAATATGAAGTTATTGGGATGAATACAGTTAGCCATTAAAACGGATACAAACGCTCGTAGCACCATAAAAACATTAGTCGACCGCTACGTCGTTAGAAAGAAAGAAACATACGAGGGCTGTGCCAGAATTAAGTAGCCTAACCAAGAAAACACAAAAATTTTGAAAAAAAAAAATAAACCTTGCAGAAAGCCCTATCATATTAAAGATTAACTGTCACACTTTTATTTTTTTTTTTCTTTTCAGATTACCGACTATTAATAGTGAAGCTTTTCAGTAAATTTTTAATATGGATAAAATTGGTAATCGTTATGTCATTCAATATGTTTATTTGAAAGGTCTGAGTCCAGCCGGTATCAAAAGTGAACTAGATTTTACACTAGGGAAGTCTGCTCCCTCATATGCAATGATTAAAAATTGTGTAGCGCAGTTTAAAAGTGGCCGTACGATCTGTGAAGGTTAACATCGCACTGGTCGACCAAATCAGGTAACCACGCCAGAAACGGTTAAAAAAGTTCACAAAATTATAGGAGACGACCGTCGATTGAAAGTGCGTGAGTTAGCTGATATAGTAGGCTTATCAAAAATTGCTGTACATCGTATATTGACCGAAAATTTGGACATGAAAAAGCTTTGCGCAAGATGGGTGCCGCGTTTACTCACAATTGACCACAAACAACATCGTGTTGGATGTTTCAATGAACTGTTTGGCCATGTTTACTAAAAATAAGACCGAATTTTTGCGTCGATTTATAACAATGGATGAAGCATGGGTGCATCATTACACTCCTGAAACAAAAGAGCAGTCGAAACAATGGACCAGTAGGGGAGAACCGGCTCCGAAGAAGGCAAAAACAACCTTATCGGCTGGAAAAGTTATGGGGTCCGTTTTTTGGGATGCGCGTGGGATAATTTTTATTGATTATCTTCAGAAGGGAAAAACAATCAACGGCGAGTATTGTGCAAACTTATTGCAGCATTTGAGTGAAGAAATCAAAGTAAAACGTAAAACGTCCATATTTATCGAAGAAAAAAGTGTTGTTTCATCATGACAATGCACCAGTTCACACATCTGCAATTGCCATGGCAAAAATTAATGAATTGAAGTCTGAAATGCTTCCTCACGCATCCTATTCACCAGATTTAGCTGCCTCAGATTACTTTCTATTTCCAAACTTGAGAAAATGGCTTGGTGGAAGAAGATTTTTAACAAACGTAGCTAATACGCAAAAAAAATGCTCTCAAATGAAAATTACGTTATATACAAATTATATTAGCAATCACTCTATTCTCACCCTAGTAGCAAAAATGTGGGATACAGATGACATTCTATGATTTCCACTCAAATGGATTTTTGTTTGAAATATTTAGAAATTGGGAACAACTAATTTTACACTTCACAGATTTAAAATCAAATTTTTTTTATAAATTTAAATATCTGATTTTCCTGTAATAATTTTATAAAATGCCTTAAAGTATATTCGCCGTTAAGTAAAAATTTGTAAGTATTGTGTAACAACATTATACGTAATTTATAGCATTTCGCAGACTGTATGAATTGGAAGGAAAGCAAAGAATTCACAAACTCAATGGTTATTTTGATTACACAAAAATTGTCTAAAACTCTAAAGTGATTCATGTGTATGCAACATACGCTTCAAGAAAAATCCATTAATGATTATTTATTTTCGTTATAAATAATAATTACTTTTAATAGACTTTTCCTATATTCTTTAATGCATTATTAAAACATCTTTAAAATGTCAAATACAGCAAATTAAGACAAGGCTGTTTTATGTTGTTTTTATTTTTTCAATTGGAACAAAAACTATAAATTTACATACTTTCACATTTTCTATATAGTATAGTTTGAGTGGCGTGCATTCACTATATAAGCAATATGAGCGTTCATTTTATTTACTTAACGTTATCAATATATTTGACTGTGGCTCTTATAACCAAATTCTGCCTAAATCTAACTTATTTCTAATATTTGTGGAAGTTTCCCATCACCAAAACAGTTTAGTTTTAAATACAAAAATAAATTAAATTATACTTAAGAATATACATAGAGTCAAAGTCGAAAGATATTTAATGGGCGTGGAAACTGAACGTGCTTTGAATGTAAACTTTAGCATACTTATAGCGAAAATAACTTTTATATAGCACAATTATAACAATATTGTGATTTTCAGTTTACAAATTTGTAATACGACACTGAAATTTAAATTTCTTGGCTTTAATATTATGGTTGTTCCGGTCAACTAAATTACTATTCTTCACGAATTTTAATGAAAAGAAAAAAAAATTCATATAAAATGTTGATAAGATGACAATATTACATTGACCACACTGTCAAAAATTTGTGAGATCTCATGTAAAGCCAAGCTTCTGCCTCTGCATGCCTTAAATCTATAAGCCTCTATAAATTTTACATCTTAATCGAAACTTGTTGCTTTGTCGTTTTCTTACTAAATCAACTATTATACAGAGAAGTAATAAACCGTGAATACATTTTCCACTTTACATCCATGTTCTTTTTTGACGTCCATCCATGTTTGTTTTTTTTTTGACTTAAGTCAAACGCAATAAAGAGCAGTGCTTAAACTCAATAAAGAGCAGCGGTATAAATACTCAATTTAAATATTTCTATACAAATTTTATTTTATATAATATTCAAATTTACCTTACAAGTCAAGACCTATTCATAATAATCATGAACGACAAATGCAAGCTGGAATGCATTCATTATTAAATCTTCAACCAGTAGGAAAATTTTTATATGCCTTTAGCATTGATTTTTACCGACCGTATTGTGTATACAATAGGCAGGTTATGTGATGGCAACAAATTTTACATATCGGTTTTTTGGTGGGAATGCACTTCTTGCGAACCGAATTTAATGAAATTTTATATGTAAGCTTATTTCGACCATGGCACGGATTGATCAACTTTTGGGATATATTAGGCTTCGAGAACTGCACTTTTTAGCGGGCCTGTTTTTCATTTTTAAAGAAAATATTCAACCGATTTATTTGAAATTTTATATATAAGCTTCACTTCCTAACTTTTGGAAGAAATCATGCGTCAGCAACTGGGCGTTTACTGCAGGCCAAATATACGTTTTTGCGTATATAAAGAGAAATAATCAACCGATTTCATTGAAATTCTTCATACTAAAACAATGCACATATAATTTTTTTTGGAAACATCAGGGCTCGAAAACTGATCTGTGGGCCTTCACCATATCTACGGAATGAATTGATGGAATTTCTTGAAATTTGATATTTGAGTTCTGGTTGTTACGGAAACTAACTGAGGAGCATTTCAAATTCACATTTTTCTAGGTATGTTAACTATAAGCTTACTAACGCCCTAAAAATTGGAAAAAAGTATTTAACAGATATTTCTATAATATTCTGTAACACTTTCACTTAACTAGACAATACACATTGCGGTCGGTTATGTGCTGATCACATCAGATTTTTTTTATATATATTTATCCTTTATGCGATTAATAAAATAAATAGAAGAGAACTCCTTCTTTTTTCTTTCTTTTTTTTAAAAGTCATTTTGGGGTCAAAATTTAGCGACATCTATACTATTTAGATTGATTTTCAAAAGAAATTAGCCATAGGGCGAATCGTTTTTTTTTGTATTTTCTTTCTTCTTTCCTCTTGATTTGATAGTTTCTTATATATACTTAATACTCCTACAGCAATATTAAATAAACTAGATTTGAAATGTCCTGGAAATATAAAATGAAAAACTTTAAAAGACTTGTTTCTTAAACAGAAAAATAACTTGGTAATAAATAGAAATTTAATGGGGATAATAAAATAAAAGTTATAATAATTTTTTTCCTTAAGGATAATAATTTTTTTGTGAGTAGCTACCTATAATATTGGAAAATAAGAAATTGTTGAAGAAAGCATAGGAAAATTCAAACGTTCAACATATTTTATAAAATTAAATAAAATATTATTACTATTTTTGTGGTTATAAGCAAAATTTATTTCAAAATTAATAAATTATAATTTTAATTCGTTTTCAAATTCGATTTTTTGGGAATAAATTATTATAATTTTGTTTGTTAAGAGAGAAATTTGTTTGGCAGTTTGTGATACAATAATTTGTTAAAAAGTTTTTGTTTTAAAATAACACATTGGTATTAGGCAAATGAAAGTGTAAATAAATAATATACGAGTTATTATAATATTACATAAGTAATATCAGTAAATAATCACTATAATATTATTCATAATAAGGGAATATTGTTAAAGTTCTCCTTTCTCCTTAAACGGAAGTTCAAGAAATTCTTTTCGGAGACTTACGGAAGCTATATTTTATACTCCAAATGCTCCCAAAAATTTTTCTCCTGTTCTATATTAAACTGGAATTCTTGTGAAATGTAGAACATATGTCGCATATCCACAACATTCTGGTCGAACATTCGGCGAAACCTAAAACATTATTTTAATCATCTTAACGAAAAGGCAATATTCTACTAAAATACTAGTCACTTTATTTTAGTGCAAACAGAGTCATCTGTATAAAAACACGAACAAACTCTACTTTAAATTAACGTGGCAGATTAAATCGCCCAATATTTCGGTGACTATCTTTCTTCGCCTAACTCAATTTAGTCGTTATTTGATTATTAGCTGTCTTTGTTGTTAATATAACTACTTTAACTTATCTTTGTTTCCCTAAATATTAACAAATTGTCTACAAAAAGTAATATTTTTCATGCAAAGGTAAATTAGAATGTCTTGGGAGGTTGCTCCATTATTTGTTTTCAAAATATCTTTTATTAATCTTTTCTTTATTTGTAAGTTATTCCTAAATTTTACATCGACAAATTACAATGATCTAAGTAAAAGCTGTTAAAAATTTTTTTCAGTACTTTCTATTATTCTTCTAAGACATAGGTCAAGCATCTTTTTCCTTTTTTTTTTTGACAAAGGATAATTTTATTTAAAAGGACATTTTGCATTACAATTTCCTGTTTCTAGCGTATTGTTACCATTGTAACTTGTTCCTTTTTTTTTTGGTAGAAAAATTTGTGACAGTTTCTTATGAACTCAAAAAAAATTTTTCATATTTAGAAATAATTTTAAAAAAAATTCATTATAATTTTCATAAAAGTTTTAAATTTTTGGTAACGGAATTTCGATTCTTCAGAATTTAAGAGCAAAAGAACTTTATTTTGTTTAGTGTGACGTTTTGTAGAGAGAGTGGTTCTAAACACGGTAAAAAAATTCACAACAATTGTCACAAAATTAAAATAAAATCATGATTTCCCTCTAGGTATACGTATAATGCTTCTAATTTAATTGCTTTCCCGCCCAGATCGTCGCTCTGACGTGATAGTCAACTAATTTGTCCATCGCCTGAGGCCTGCAGTAGAAACGACGTGACTGTAGTTTATCTAAATGATTTACAACGATTGAGAACAAAATTGCTTTTAAACCTCTTCATATCAAAGCGCAAAAGTAATCAAACCCTAGCTGTAAGAATGCTTGAAATATCAAATTAACTCCCGACGCCTTAAAAGATTAAAAAATCCAATCTTCCAACTTACCCTATGCTTTCATGATACTTGGTTTTCGGTAATACAATATTTATAACGTCTCAAGCCCAATATACCGCCAAGATAGTCAGCTTACAGGAAAAGGAGAGTCCTTCGTTACTCCTTATATTTTGTGTGACTCGAATTCGGCCTCCTAATTGATACTGGATAACGGCTATAAGCAGTTTTACTATTTACCAACAACTCAAGTTGCGACCCCCGGTTTTTCTTTTATACTCCCAATTGATACTGTATCGCCGAAAATACTTCAATAATTACTCGTTTTAGCCCGTTCGGTTTAGAGTTATTTTGATATTAATTTAAAAATTTCACTAGTTTTATTATAGAACCAAATTATTTATTTGAATTAGTTTGTGCTTACAACAATATCATAACTTTACACGGTTATATATCAATATCAGCTCTGAGACTTACGTTTCCCAATAGCTGCGAGTGATATTAAAATTTATTTTTGAAAATATAAAAGCTTTTGTTATAAAACAATCATTAAATGATTACACTCAATAAACATGACATTAATTTAGTCTGTTCAGATTGAATTCTTGAAATTCTTCCGGAAAATTTGAGAGTAATGAGATTTCATAAAAATTCTTTAAAAATTATCTTTATCTCATTTGTGCAC